CTATGTCACTTTCCATTTGTGTAATAATACATTAGGAGAGTATGAATAGCGATGACGGATTAGTAGATAAATGTTCAGTATTTATTGTCTGTAAAATATAAAAAATTTCTCCATTTTCCTCCTGAAAGTAGGGGGGATGATTGTACACGCCATCCCCCACCTCAATAAGGGGGGGGGATATATCCCCCACCCGCTATTTACGCCCCTGACCTAAATCACCGCAGGACATGGAACATCTCCTAGCAAAGCCCTGTAGACCTGGATACCTTGAAGCTTTCAATTAACCATTAGCCACCGTACCAGGGCATGTGTGCTGCAGTGGTTAGGACAAGTGTAGTGTAGTGTAGTGTAGTGTAGTGTAGTGTAGTGTAGTGTAGTGTAGTGTAGTGTAGTGTAGTGTAGTGTAGTGTTCCCGTTACAGCTCTCTGATTGGGCGCAACGATTTCGTGTTTCGCGTTGCGGGCTGGAGAAGCAAGTGGTACAGGCGGTGAAGTGTAGTGAAGCGGAACCGGAAACGCCTGTATCATACAGGTTACAGTAAACCTAGCTACTACTACTGAATAAAAACAAAATGTGATTTTATTCACACCTGAATATATATTATATATATATACATACATACATATATACATGCATGCATGCATGCATACATACACATACATGGATAATTGCCTAAATAAATAAATATAAATATAAATAAAAATACATAGGGCCTACATACATATAGTTGATATACATACATACGTACGTATACGTACGTACGCACGCACGCACGCACGCACGCACATTTTTTTTAATTTGCAAGAATTTCACCTCAGGTCGCTCCATTTTAGTGTAATAATTGCAAAATCTCCATCGTACGGGAGGGTGAACAGTGAACACCCCCCTCCCACACCTTCCCCCCGCTCGGACGTCGCTTGGCTCCCTCGCCTGGTCACTTCGCGCCCGAGCAGGGGCGTGTACAGGGGTGGTCCAGGGAGTCCGGACCCCCCCTTGCTCGCGCAGAAAACGCATCTGAGGGGGTCTAATTTTAAAAAATTTCAGGGGGAGGGCCCCTAGACCCCCCCCCCTTCGCGTGCTCGCAACTTTGGGTTACGGTTAGACCCACCCCTGGTACAAATCCTGTACACGCCCCTGCCGAGAAAATTGCCAACATTGAAAAACGAACCCCCCCCCCAATATAAAGCTGGCTACGGGCCTGCATACATACATACTTACATACTTACATATAATCAGGAGTGTATAATAGGGATCCCTATTATACACTCCTGATATAATCTATTTGGTTCACTATCTATATTTATATTTTACGAATATACCGGTATTGATATATGTATATATTATTAAGAAGATTGGGCACCTAAATTACAACAATAAAAGTGAATCACTGGAATGGACACTTTTAATATTAAATTACTACCTTACATTATAGTGCCATAGCTAGCAGGTGGGGAAATTAAGGGGCAAATAACCCGCCCAGAGAAATGTAGAGAACACAACCTGCCCGTGACTTTGTCCTCAGGCAAAATGACAGTAGTAGGTAGTGAAACTTTACTTGTATGCTTTATAATTTTTAACATGAAAAATGTAATTATACACAAGATCCTTTTGATAAGTTGCAATATATTAATCTATCAATGTGATTTGCTATCATGATATATGCCTGTGCGCGTTCTTGCGTGCGTGCGTGTATGAGTGTGTGCGTGCAAATGACGGCATGGTGATGGCTATAGTGCGCGCATTTTCTAACATAATAACACACGAAAGATCAGTCATTATTGTACAGCTTGACTCTCATGTATTGACGTGTATTTATAATCATTGCACTCTAGAGAGAGCGTTTCATTCAGAGCGTTTTCTCGTATATCGAGCGCAGTTTCATCTACTACAGGATCGACGATTCGCAAAGTATACGAAGAGTGTGCGAGCGTAGCGCGTAGCGCACACCGCGAGCGCCTTGGCGCAAAGCCCTCAACGGGTGCGGTCCAGGGGCCCGCCCTAAGGCCCCGTGGCGGGGTGCATGGGCAGAGCCCTTGCCCAGGGTCCAGGGGAAGGAGCCACCGGAAGCTCTTGGATTTTAGCAATTTAGAACCTTCAAGATGGCCGTTTTTGAGGGGATTTAAAAAAATTGAAATTGTAAGTGCAATATTTGTGAATTCTGGGGTTATATTTTTCCTTTGGATCCCAGAGGTTTGATACACGCACTCCCCCCCCACACACAAACCAGTGGCGTATCCAGAAAGTGAATTCTTAGGGGGGGATCATGCGAGCTCAAGGCACGAAGCCGCCGAGGGGGGATCGAGGTGTGTTGGAGGGGGGTGTTCCCCTCCCACTGTGTGACATTGTTAAACAATTTGCAATCTAAAACAATCAATTTTGGCCATCTTTATCATAAGCATATTCACGAATTTTTTCCCTCTTCAGGGGGGATGTCTCCTTTCTGTTTAGGGGTCCGGGGACTTCCCCGGAAACTTTGTGAAGAATTTACACCTCTTAGCATGCAATTTCGACTGGCTCTCGGGGGGGTCGCATTATTAAACAATTTTCTCACAATAATATCACTGTGGAGTTGAGTATTTTTTATCTTATGGGGACCCAAAGACTAAAATCTCACTACTATAAATCTGGCTTATGTACATGTTCCTCACTGGGTGACCATGAGCAGACTTACCTAGCTAAAAATACCTTCCCCTGAAAATTCTAGGGGGGCGCGGGACTTGTGCCCCCCCCTGGATCGCGCCACTGACAACTACAGCACGGAATCATCTCCTGAAGTTTTGATAAAACGTATATTTAGCTGAGAACGCTAAAATGGTACAAAAAAGGATGATGAAAAACAAACCAGATTCGACCAAAAGAATACGTATATTTTCACCCCTTATACAAATCGGGAATATACTCTCCGGTCGTGTTTCAAGCACCCCCCCCAATAAGTCTATGATGAAATTGATTTTTTCATTCAAGTCCCGTGAAATTCAACTATCCCAACTCTCAATAGGCTCTATTCTTTTAATTTTGAATAAATCAGGGATTAACTTTCGTCAGTATGATAAGACGTGATTTGGGATTTGAAAAAAAATCGTAGTATGGAATCCATGGAATGCATCCAGAATTTTCTAGTGAAAATAATGTCATTCTTGAAGATTTACAGACATATTTACGAGTGTAGATCCTTATGTCAACTTCCATTTGGTGTAATAAACAATTTAGAGAGATGAATAGCGATGAGGATAGTAGATACAATGTTCAGTATTTATTGTCTGTAAAATATAAAAATTTCTCCATTTCCTCCTGAAAGAGGGGGATGATTGTACACGCCATCCCCACCTCATAAGGGGCGGGGGATATATCCCCCCACCCGCCTATTTACCCCCTGACCTAAATTCACCGCCAGGACCATGGAACATCTGCCTAGCAAAGCCCTGTAGACCTGGAATCTTAAGCTTCAATTAACCATTTAGCACGCGTACCAGGCATGTATGCTGCAAGTGTTTAGGACAAGTCTAGTTAGCTGTAGTGTCAGTGTAGTGTTTAGTTGTTAGTGTAGTGTTGAGTGTAGTGTAGTTAGTGTAGTGTAGCTTAGTGTGTAGCCTTGTAGTGTAGTGTAGTGTAAGTGTAGTGTAGTTGTAGTGTAGTGTAGTGTAGTGTTAGTGTAGTTGTAGTGTAGTGTAGTGTGTGATGCTGTAGTGTAGTGATGTAGGTAGTTGTTTAGTTAGTGTAGTGTAGGTGATAGGTTAGTGTAGTGTAGTGTAGTGTAGTGTAGTGTAGTGTAGTGTAGTGTAGTGTAGTGTAGTGTCCCGAGACGAAAAGAAAGAAACCATTCTGTTTGAAATCACCACCTAAATGGCTACATCGCGCATACGCATTACTCGCGAAGCCGCAATTTAAGTATATATATACTATATATATATAATAGCGCGGGACCCTCGCCGTTACAAAACGGGCTATAATAAAACTCATTATTGTTAACTTATTAGCTAGAAATTTACAAAAGACAGGTTTTCAGAAGAAGTTTACAAAGGTATTGCGTTTCTCGTTATTTTATTATTGTCTTTACCTAAGTCTCACGCTTGGCAAGCAGGTGTGAACTCAATAATACGAAATTGTAAAAATGTTGTAGATACAAACGAGTTTCCTAGTATTGATCTTTCAAAACTGCAGTGACTCATCCATCGCGTGTGTAAAAAAAAATTCGCCTGCGGGTGCATACACGCGCGCACATGCACGCTCGCGTGTATGCATACACGTATATATGTAGCCCCTATATGTATGATACCTTGGAAGAGCCTATATATAATACCAAGAGCTAATAATACCTCTATTAGCTCTTGATTAGGTATTATTAGCTCTTGATACGTCGGTACCGTCGTTTTCTGTGCGAGCAGGGGGGTCCGAACCCCCTGGACCCCCCCCCCCCTGTACACGCCTCTGTGATAATACCAAGAGCTCTTCATAATACAGAGAAGAAGAAAATGATGAGTCATGACAGAGCAAACACGGTACCGTCGTTTTCTGTGCGAGCAGGGGGGTCCGAACCCCTGGAGACCCCCTTCCCCTGTACACGCCCCTGTGATAATACGCAAGATCTTCATAATACAGAGCAAAGAAGAAAATGATGAGTCAATGAAGAGCAAACACGGCGATCCGTTATTTCTTGGCGAGCAGGGGGGGGGCGTCCGAACCTGCCTGGGGACCCCCCCTGTAGCACGCCCCTGGTGATATACAAGAGGTCTTCATAATACAGGAAAGAAGAAGATGATGAGCTCATGAAGAGCAAACCGTCTCGGCGTTGTTCTGTGCGAGCAGGGGGGTCCGAACCCCCTGGACCCCCCCCCCCTGTACACGCCCCTGTGATAATACCAAGAGCTCTTCATAATACAGAGAAGAAGAAAATGATGAGTCATGACAGAGCAAACACGGTACCGTCGCCGTCACGTGACAAGAGAAGGCGTGACTGAATTAAGTGCGTATAGTATATTATAGCGCGCTGCTGAACGTCTGTATATGCTTGCCCACAGCGTACCCACAAGCAGGATAGGCGAGTAAAGTGCAGCTGACCAGTTTTGTAAGTTCCGTAAAAATCAAGTGTTTTTAACCGTTTTTTTACAGGTCATGTCTTGTTAAATGACGTAGAGACTCATAGTAAGAAATATGGCTTATGCATATACTAGCATGGTAATGTCCGCATTGCCCGTTTCAGCGCATATATTTAAAAACGAATAATGTGAATCCGACCATTTTTCTCTCTATTCGACTATTATTTGGGTCAAGGTCAAGCCTGATAAAGCTGTCCTGTGGAACTTTGGAATATTTTCGTCAGTATTGGTATGCACAGAAACGCCTTGTCGATGCACGCATTGCAAATGCTGTTTTTTTGTTTTCCTTGTAGGTTTGCTCTACCAATATGACTCAGTTCAAGTTGACATATTTCAATGGCAGGGGGCGTGGTGAAATCGCCAGGGTTATGTTCGCAGCGGCCGACGTAAAATATGAAGACCACAGGATCGAAATGGCAGATTGGCCACAGATAAAGCCAAGTAACTTTAATAATGAATTTTTAATCCCATTACATATTAGTTCCTTATATAGACGTTAATTTTTTTTAGTACTTTAGTGTGATTAGATTGTTTCCGACGAATTCTATGGATATAGAACGTTGCGTTACCAGCGTATATATTGCGCGGTTAAAAATTGTGAAAAACAATAATAAAGGTTCCAAACCGTGTCTAAATTTAAAAAAAAGCAAAGCAATGCACGTTTTCGTTGTCAAGCACGCACGTGACAAGTTTTTATGTAAATTAACGACTATTAGAATGGTTAATTTCGAGAAATCGAGATATACTACTCACGGAATATTATATACGAACCCAATGTGTGGTTAATGCGCGAGATAGGTTCACGATCACTATTGGTCACCATATCTCTCAGTCGTCCTTACCGTCGCCTTGTCGTTGAGTGTTCGTCTGGTTTCATCAATATCTATGTCAATACTCTCTCGCGCAGCTACCTCGCATGGATACCTTCCGATACTGACGGTAGATGGTAAATGTCTTCACCAGAGTGGTGCTATCTACCGATACTGGCAGCAAATTCGGTGAGTGCGATAAACCGGGGCTGCTTAGATTGTTCTTTTGATTCAGTCTTCGTCGTATCATTCGTTTATTCGTTCATCGATTCATTCATTCATTCATTCATTCATTCATTCATTCATTCATTCATTCATTCATTCATTCATTCATTCATTCGTTCATTCGTTCATTCTAGCTTCGTGTTCGGGACAATATTTGTAGCCGTCGTAGTCGTCGCTGTATTAATAATAATAATAATGTGTTATTGTATTAATAAATACTTAATATTTATTCATACATTCATTCACATTAATATGGAATTATGTGTGTTAACACGTGGCCTCGATGCCGCAGGCTTCATGGGTCGCAACGACTGGGAGGCGGCACTCATCAATGAGACGGCCGAAATTGGAGATGACCTGTTCCGACCAATGGCGGAATCAGTTTTCTCATCGAACGAAGCCAGAAAGGTAAATGCATACCGGTTTCACCTTCAACCTAGTTAAATAATTGAGATAGTATAGTAAGTAGTATTTACAAAACCGCATCGTTAGTTTTTAATGGTAATTAATGTTTTTATCTCAAAGGCTGAGCTCCGCAAAGCCTTACCAGAGGTTATCATACCCAAAACAATAAAGCTTTTGGAAATGCGGCTGAAAGAAAACGGAAACAACGGGTTTTTCGTAGGAGACAAGGTATGCGCCTGTTCGATTCATAGCTGTGACCTGTGGTTAGAGAATGGTTTCGCACAACAGCCGTTACTGTGCACCTAAATTGTAACCTACTTTTTGTCTTTTGAAATCTGGCTATCACAGTGATAGGGGAGCACGAAAGAAATGGTTCTTCATTGCAATTGTTATAATGGCCGCGTGGTATTGCCAATTTGCCATGTGCCATATATGTATTATGTATACACGCGCACAGCAGAGTAACATAGGCCTATATACCTAGCTGTATCAAGAGTAGATAATAGGAGATCTCCTATTATCTACTCTTGACCTGTATGTAACATTTGTTATCACTAACTCTAGCGAACCGTTCTTTTCTGCAGTTGTCACTTGCCGACGTCGCAATATTCGTGCTTCTGCAACCCATGATGGAGAACCCAGATCTGGCCGCTGCCTTCAAGGATCACTGCGCCATAACAGAACACGTGAAACGTATCGGTGCGATACCGGCCATTAAGAAATGGGTCGGGATTCGCCCAAAGACACCAATTTAGGGTCTAACTCTGAACAGAACCTCAGGTTCGAAAAGATTCGTTGCCATTCGAATTGCGATTTTATTTCATTTTTCGTTGCGGTTTTGGAATGATTTCGTTGCAATTTCGTTCAAATAGGTATATCCACACTAATATAAAAGACACAATTATTGGAGAATAGCTAGGGGATACGCTCAGATATCGATGCTTTAGTCGGTAGGTCGAGTCGAGTCGAGAAAGGATAATATTAGTAACGAAGAACTGCAATATCTCAGTGTAATGCTTTACGTTTTGTTTGTTTTCACATATTATATGATGACGATAGACATTTATAGCAGGTGCATGATGGTTCTCCATAGTTGATCTTCGTTTATTTTTTTCACTTATGTTGTCCTCGCAAGTTTTGTTCACGCTACGTAATAAGCACTTGACTTGTATAACGACCCCGAATAGAGGATACATCTTGATGTAATTATATTTTCCGCATCTCGACTTGAAATTATATTATTACCGATGGAATATTTAAGGTAGCCCCGAAATAGCATTTGTAACTACGTCTGGCATGTCAAATATTATTGCTGGTGATGGGTGTGAAGTTAATGAAAGCATTTAATTTGCGAAGCTTAGTATTGAGGAACTCTGTTAGGTAGCGAATATATTCGCGGGTGTGCCACAGCTCATGGTTACCATACGACAACGCAATACTCAATCGGTAGAGCAGGATCTGAACATTCTCACCTGGTTTGAAGGTCAGCCTATTCCAGGCTAGGCGGCACTGGTGATAGAACAACAATTCTGATAGAACAATGATTCTACTGCAAGGACGTGCTATACAAAGCAGAACGTCGCGCTCAAACCGGTTCCTGATTCCCACAAAAATGTACATGCAGATACAGGTGATCATTTCTTTGTCCGCACGCAGACGTTATAACCCCGATTTGCTAATCTGAGGGTGCGGGTTTAACTGGAGTTTACTCCATTACTGGGGTCTGCGTGGGCTCGGACTAATCATTTCTATGCTCATTCTTAGACACACCCGAGATGTGAGCTTCCGCTGCTGTTTCATATGATTCTAGACTTTGATTCTTGATTTTAGATATTGATTATGATTTGATTATGATAACGGAGGCCGTACCAAATAGTAACCTAAATTTAAACTGTATATAACCAGCGTTCGTACATACGCCATAAGCGTAACGTTGGAGGAGCAACTGTCAACTAGAAGCTTGAAAAAAATGAAATCTTATTGCATGCAAATTGAATGCAAATGACCCTAAAATAATTGTAAATCATCATGTAGTTGTCCGAGAAACGTTCGTTTCGCATACACCCACTCTCCTCGGCTTACCATATGCACGTAGTTTGGGAGCTGCGTCACTTCCTTGTCATTGCTCAGCTGAGTCCAGTGACAGATATGGGGGGGGGGCCACCAGCCACCCTCCCCTTATACCACAAAAACGGATAGTACTTCTTCAAATAAAATAAATTAAATGGAAGTACACATGAACAAATACATTTGTTATTTTTTGCAAAAACAAGCTAAAAAAGAGATACATTATTCGGGGGAAATTTATTTACTTGCGAAGTGTAATTTAGAAATGAAAAGAACCCGCGATATCTCATAGTATAGTATAGTAGACGCTTAGCCTCGGTTTCGCGTTCTTTCCCGCTACCACTATAAATTGCACCATTGGTATATCAGATATTGATTACATGCTCTGATCTTATAGAGGCATGCAGCCGTTAGCCTCCCAATTAAAAAAATTCTGGACCCCTTACATAATATACGTTACCTCGATCTACGGCCATGGACAACTGTTCTGTTATATAGTTGCTGCACATCAAAACAATGCACGAATGTCAACAGCGTTAGTTTACCATATCAATCTTCAAGGAATGGTCGAAGTGCCAAATTAACCTTTATTAAAATAAATATTAGCTTTGCACGGGAAATCTGCTACATTTAATCGCGGTGGTCCGTCGCTATACCGATACTCTTTTCAAATATAATTCAATATCATCCGTGATTTGCCCTAAATAACTGGTGCTGAACGAATAT